TCACACCACTCACCCACTGCTCACACCACCCACCCACTGCTCACACCATTCACCCACCCACGTGCTCAAACCACTCACTCACTCACGCTCGTACCAATCACTCGCCCACTGCTCACACCACTCACCCACTGCTCACACCACCCACCCACTGCTCACACCAATCACTCACTGCTCACACCATTCACCCACCCACTGCTCAAACCACTCACTCACTCACTGCTCGTACCAATCACTCGCCCACTGCTCACACCACTCACCCACTGCTCACACCACCCACCCACTGCTCACACCAATCACTCACTGCTCACACCATTCACCCACCCACTGCTCAAACCACTCACTCACTCACTGCTCATACCAATCACTCGCCCACTGCTCACACCACTCACCCACTGCTCACACCACCCACCCACTGCTCACACCAATCACTCACTGCTCACACCATTCACCCACCCACTGCTCAAACCACTCACTCACTCACTGCTCATACCAATCACTCGCCCACTGCTCACACCACTCACCCACTGCTCACACCACCCACCCACTGCTCACACCAATCACTCACTGCTCACACCATTCACCCACCCACTGCTCAAACCACTCACTCACTCACTGCTCGTACCAATCACTCGCCCACTGCTCACACCACTCAACCATTGCTTAACTCATGCACTGTCCACATAATATTTTTTTCGATGTTACTTCAGATGGCTGACCATAAAGAAGTGATGACTGGTATAAAGTGCTATCCTAATGTCAATTATCCAGTATTAACCCCTAATATAAAAGGTTTTGAAGCTGCTGTGAATGCTGGGGCCAAAGAAGTGGCCATATTTGGGGCTGCGTCTGAAGCTTTCAGTTGGTATGTTCTATTCTATTCTGTTCCGGCCCGGTTCAGTCCAGTCCGGTTCGGTCCGGTCTGGTCCGATCCTTCTAGTCTAGTATAGTATAGTCTAGTCAAAATAATACTTACAGTGTGTTGCCACCAACTTTCAACATTACTTGCTTTTTTGGGGGTAAAATGAGATGTACCTTTTGGAATGCTGTACTATCACATGAGTATTGTATGCACAAAGGTAATGTGGTGATTGTATCGATCAATATATTGTAGGGAATGACCCAAAATGTTAAGATTGTATCTATGTATTTATTTCCACTGTGTGATTTATTACGACAGCATTTAATGTAAACAAACTGAAGTGTTTGTGAATGTGACGTCAATATTCAGAAGCGTGGTCAATATTATTGACGTCCCAAATAAGGGAAATGACGAAACTTGGATTGAATGTAAATACATTTTGAAAAAATTTAAATAGAGTTTTTCATAGAACAATACATTTTGTTTTCCCGGTATTAGATGTATATTTATAACATTCACAAGAAAGTAATAGTATTTATTTTGTGTCAACTTTGGATTCTTTGTAGGAAGAATATCAACTGCTCTATTGTTGACAGTTTACAACGATTTGAAGAAGTTATGAAGTCTGCCAATAAAACAAACATACCAGTTAGAGGGTAAATATCTATTTAACAACTCACATCTGTCTATTAAGGGAAACTTATAACTTTTCTAACAGGAATTTCATTACATTTTGAATAGCAGAGCTATGTTTGCCATCAGCAGA